ACACACACACACACACACACACACACACCCCTCCATCTCAGTGATGTCATATCACCCCTACCTCTACCTACCCTACTGAGCCTGGAATCAGGTAGACTTGAGTTCAAATCTAGCCTCAGCACTTTTAAGCTATGTGATCCTAGGAAAGGTACTTCATCCCTGTTTTCTTCAGTTTCTTCATCTGTAGAATAGGGATAATAATACCACCCACATCCCAGGGTTATTGTAAGGGTCAAATGAGATAATAATTGCGATGTGCTTAGCGCTTAGTAAGTACTATGTAAAACTAAGGCATATGAAATGATATGAAACCCACAAAGCAGAACACTCTCATAAAGATACATGATTAATAGCTATGTAAATGAAAGCAACTTTATATGTCAACTAAACTGAGATAATAATACAGTGACAATGACTAACATAGAGAGATTTAAAGTTCACAAAGTGCTTAAAGTTTATATATGTGTGTGTGTATATATATATACATACATGTATATGTAATACACGTATATATATATATATATATATATATATATATACTCATACACTTATATATACATACATGTATATATAAAATCTCCATTGATTTTCCCAACAACCCTGTGAGATAAATGCCATTATTATACCCATTTTGTGGAAGAGGAAACTGAGGCTAAGAGAGATTAAGTGACTTGCCCAGGGTCACACAGCTTATAAGTGTCTAAGACAGCCTGAACTCAGGTTAATGCTGAATAATGTTGATACTAACCAATAAAGCATATACTAGTCCTTTCTTTTGACAAATGGAAAAGTACTCAAAAATAAGGGTACTTTTGTACCAATCACAATCATTTCTCAACATTTATTTCCTTGGACTGTTATAGAGGATTGAACATGGTAGGGGCGGAGGTGAGGAATTCAATTAGAAGTATGGGAATGTGATATGTTTTTTTCAATGTGTTGTTTTTCACATGTTCACATTTTTCAATGTGTTATTCTGCCCCCAAAAGGTATACAAAACTCTTAGAAGTTCAGGCTTTGAATCTGGCACATTTTTAGTATGACTCAACTCTCAAACCCTGCTCATAGATTCAAAGCTTTAGGCCTGGAAGATGTCTTAGAGGACACTGAGTCTAACTTTCTCATTTTACAGATGAGGAAAGTGAGGCTCAGAAAGTATAAGGGAGTTACCTAAAGTTTCAGAGCTAGTAAATGCTTAAGGCATGTTTTCAGTTCAACACTAGCCACAGTAAGCAATTAAAATAAAAAACAAATGGATAAACCACACAAGTTACCTAAACACTAAGTGCAGAAAAGGCCTAAAAGACAAAGAAAAAAGAAATGTTCTCTTTATGTTTGGGTTATTTTGACTGTTTGACAAGTTGTATTGTGGAAACCTGAGCTAGAGAGTCAGAGACAAAGAGGATGCCTTTTCCCCCCCACACTTATATACCATAGGCTAGAACTTCTGCTACCCTTCTAATCGTGTTGTTCTATTACAGCATCTAATGTTTAGTGACTACCAAACGAAAGGCTAATATCAGTTTCATAAAGTTTAATTATTGATAGCAGCCTCACTAAGCTTGATAGCCTATGCTGAGAAAACATGACAGCCTTCCTCTTTGCAGCTCTGCCTTTCTACCTGAGGTCGTTTCTTCTTATTTCTTATTAAATTGCATCCATTTACCTCACTCAGCCTGTCTTCCCTCTTTCGTTGGTGTCCTAACAATTAAACCAGCTGTCACTCTTACTCTAAACTAGCAAATTGTTGCTCAAAGCCATTTTTTAAAAGCTTTATATTTTAGGAGACTTTAGTTTTAAACAGGTTCAAAACCAGAGCAAAAAGCCTTTCTCTCTCAAGATTTACATTTTACAATTCATTATTTATTTGTGCTCTTTTCCTCCTTGGAATATTGTTTTTATGTACTACTGTGAGCCATATATTCAATTCAAATTCAATATTATTCACTACTTTGCTATTCACAAATTCACATATTTTTCACATCATTTTTCATGTTCATTATTTGTGTAACCAACCCTGATGCTCAAGAAGAGCTAAATCATTTGGAGCCCCAGAAACACTTATTCCAAACACCACCCTCCCTACTACTGAAGTCCTGTTTTTAAAACAACCTCCATAACAACCCAACCTGATACATCTGGGTGTCCAGGTCATTCGCATTTCATCTGAGACAATTTGCACGTAAATCTTTCTGGTTTCTGTTCCATAATTCTCAAGTTCCTGATGTTTCTAACTGAGATGACCCAGAAGAAGAAAATAGCTTGTGAAATGTTGCCTGCCCTGCTAAGTCAGCCCTGAGCACCCCTCTGATGTCCCTTGGGTATCCCTTGGCAGCCACAGCAGCTACTTGTCCAGACTTGGGAAATAGAAACTCTTACAGGGAGATTTCTCAAACCATAAAAATGAAATAATCTGGTGACTATTTTGAGAGGCTCTGCTGTCTTTGAGGATCTTAGATTCCCATTAGGTGCACTGAAGCAGCCACTTCATTGGAAGCTGTAGGTTTGGGGTAGTTTATTTCCCCCATGGGAGAATCTAAGACTTCATATATTTGCATAGCCACTCTACTTTGTATATTGATTTACAGGTCATTAGCTATGTCTATTCTAGTCATTCATTTTTATCCTTTTATCTAGGAATCTAGGCTCCAGTAGACCTTATGCTTCATGGGATCATAGGATCATAGATTTGAAGCTAGAAGATACTTCAAAGACAATTTAATCCAATTCTCCTCATTTTATAAATGAAGAAACTGAGGCCCAGAGAGACTGAATGACATGTAAGGTCACAGAGATAACAAATGGAGCACCAAGTCCAGGGCTCTTTGCACTGTATCACAATGCCTCAATTGTCACTTGCATACTGGTTTATCATTATCTTACCAAGTATGTCCTGTCTCCTGATCTAGATTGTAAGATCCCAATTGTAGGTGACTGCCATGCATTTCTGCATTCCTTCCCAGCACCTACCAGTACTCTGCAATAGTAAACATTAAATACATATTTGTTGATCTACATTCATGATCCTCACCATAAAAATAAAGACATTGAGGAATAAGAAAAGAAATTCATTCCCGATTGGTTAAGTGGTGGTGATGTCATAGCCAAGCCTTCACTTCTTTAAAGCCTCTTATAAAGAGACATATTTTTCATACTGGTTTTCCCTAGATCTGCATGTGTTTGACCTATGGTCCTGTACATTTCCAGTATAAGAGAGTTGGATTAATAATATTTGAGTGCAAGGAAACTATTATTGTTGTCTAGTTGTTTTTCAGTCATGTCCCACTGTTTGGTGTTTTCATGGCAAAGATACTGAAACGGTTTGCCATTTCCTTCTCTGGCTCATTTTACAGATGAGGAAACTGAGATATACAGGGTTAAGTGACTTGCCCAGGGTCACACAGTTAGGGAGTATCTAAGGCTGGATTTGAACTCAGGAAGAGAAGTCTTCCTGACTCCAGGCCCAGAACTTTATTCACTGTACCACCTAGATGCCCTGCAATGAAATAGGGAGAAACATTAAATGACAGCCTTCTGGATGGATGCAGGATAGATTCTTTCACTTGATAATTATCTGAGATGATTAGACAACAGATGTGTAGATTTTCATATGAAGCATGTGTCCTTCCCAAGCCTGTTATGAATGGATAAGTTTATGTTTTTAAAGTATTTAAGACTCTAGATAAATAGAGTAAATCTGTAAATATTATGCAGGCTACAGCCTCTATCACTACTGTTTCTAGTTCTAGAAAATAAACTTATAAATACATTTACATATTATGCATATGTCTTCATTAGATTGCTTTTAGTTGTAGGAAATAGTCTCATACTACATTAAGGTTTTTAATTAGTAAATTGGGGAATATGGCTTAGAGAAGCTATACCATTAACCCACAGCAACACAAAAAGACATGGGCAGAGCTAGATTCAAGCCATGAGTGTCCCTTCAATCTTTCATTGATTCTAACCACTGCAGTACTCTGCCTTTCTCTTTCTTATCCTTAATGGAACTGGCTGTCTCTCTGAACTCCTTTTAGCTGTGACTATTCTAGAAATCAGTCAAGTAATTGCCTTTTCCAGTCCCGGAAACTGATATTGTCAAATAGGATGAAAAACAAGAAGGCAAAATGGGAAGAAAATAAAAGGAGGCCATAGAAAAGAAGAAGCAAAAAAATCAATCCCTGTATCAGAGAGGTCCATGTCTTTTTTAATCATCCTACTTTATTCATCCACTGACCAGAAGCTCTGAAAGTCCATTTATTTATTCAGTCAAACAGACCTAACATTGCCCTTTTAAAGGTGGGGTTTCTATTGCATTTTTGTCTTGAAAGAAATTGTGGTTCAGTTTAGGAAACAAACGCAAGTGATATTGAGACTTAGTAAATGAACACACCTTCAGGAACAGATTTAAACTTAAAGAGAGAGAGAATGTATAATTTCAACTAAGGGTTGGAATTTGAGAAGAATTAATCTAATAAATAAAATTAAAACGAGAAGAAAGGAGAGGAGAGGAGGAAAGGAGGAAGGAAGGAAGGAAATAAGGAAGGAAGGAAGGAAGGAAGGAAGGAAGGAAGGAAGGAAGGAAGGAAGGAATTAAGAAAAAAAGTCACTCACACCTGGATAGAATCTTCTACTGGGTGGGGCAGCTAGGTGGCACAGTGGATAGAGCACCAGCCCTGGATTCAGGGGGACCTGAGTTCAAATCTGGCCTCAGATACATAACACTTACTAGCTGTGTGACCTTGGGCAAGTCACTTAACCCGGTTACCTAGCCAAAAAACAAAACAAAACAAAAAAAAGAATCCTCTACTGGAAGACCAACATAATACAATCATAGCACTGTGAAAACGCAATAAAGCATGATGTATCTATCTCACTGTGTGTCAATTTGGGAACAACAGAGAGTCAGGGAATTTAATTTCAGGTGGAAGAATGCAGTCAATCAGATTAGTTTGAATAATAATATGAGCTGAACATACAAACTCAGGAAGTTGACTTACCAACAGCATAACCCCAAATTTGGCAGGAGATTGAAAGCAAACTTAGCTGGGGTTGCACTGGGTATTCAGGTATTACCCAACCACTCCTAGTGTGGGAAAAGGAAGAGAGGAAGAAAGGGGGAAATCAGTTTATAACTTATTATATAATTACTATATGACAGATATTACAACAAACTCTGGTGATATAAACTCAAAGTAAGGGGCAGTGACCTCAGGAAGCTTATATTCTAATAGCTAGTTGCAACATACAAATAAGTACATATAGGTTATATACTATACATATATATATATATATATTATATATATATACGTATGTATGTATATGCATATATATGTTTATATATATATTTATTTATACACACACACACAGGGAATGATAGGGAGGTTACTAATTATTTGGAAAGTCAGAAAAGGGCTCTTGAAGGAAATGACCCTTGATCAGAATTAGGAGTCAAGATACTGGGAAGAGAAGAGAAAGAATTTCAGACATAGGGGATGGCCTTGTATAAAGACAGGGAGGTGAGAGAGAACATTTATTGTATGGGGAATCACAAGCAGGCTAGTTTGACTACAGCATGGAGTGGATGAAGACGTATAATATGAAATTAGCCTGAAATTGTAGGGAAGATCCAGACTATGAAACCCTTTAAGAGTTTATACTTCAACGTAAAGGTAATGGGAAGTCACTTTAGTTTACTGACCAGGGAGTGACATGTTGAGACCTGAATTTATTACGTATGTGGAATATGGATTTTAGAGAGGAAGATAAGATATAAAAAGATCAATTATAAGGTTATTAAAATAGTTTAGGTCATAAGTGATGAGGTTTTAAATAAGGTGGTCATGGTGTGAGAAAAGACAATGTGAGAAATGTTGAGAAGATGGACATTATTAGACTTGGCAAATAATTGGGTATGAGTAGTGAGAGTGAAGAGTCCATCATGACTCCATGGTTGTGAACCTGGATGACTGGGAGAGTGAAAGTCTTCTTAATAGAAATAAGGATGTTAGAAGGCAATACAATGACTTTTTTGAGGTGTGTTAAAGTTGAGATTTCTATGCTCCTCTAGTTGGAAATGTCTCAGAGGGAGTTGGAGATATGACTGGAGCTCAAGAGAGAGATGATACCTGGTTAAGTAGGTGTCTGGATAAGTAGATTTGGTAGTAATTTGCATAAAATGATCATATGATTTAGGGGTGCTGATGTGATTATCAAGACAGAGAATGTCCACAGAAAAGAGGAAAGTGCGTAAGATAGAGACCTCAGGATAATGTTGAAATAGCTAATTAAAACATCAAGATTTTGGAAGGAGAAAATTAAGATGAAAGTGGGATGGTGGTCTAGGAAAGCAGATAGAGAAAGGATCACTGGAGGTCAGAGAATGGGGTGGGGAGGAGGAGAATTCTACAGCTCTAACATAGTCTCATTTCTGTTCTTTCTTACACAATGTCATTAAGTCCATAGAATTAACAGCTGGAAGGGACCTTAGAAATCATTTAGTTCAATATCCTCATTTTAAAGATGAGGAAACTAAGGCTCAGGAACATGAAATGACATGACCAAAGTTACACATCTAATAAGCAGAAGTGCTGTGATTTGAAACTCCTTTGCTAGACTCCAAATCCAGTGTCTTTTATAATTCACAGGCAATTAGTAAACCTTTAGTAAAAATTTACTCGACACCATCCATGCCCACTATGAGACTCTGAAGAAAGAAATCACAGTATCTTAGCCTTGAAAGGTACCTTAGGAGCCACCTAGTTTAACACCTACCTGAAGCATGAATCCCATTTACAAAATCAATGGAAAGAGAACAAGAAGAAAAACCAGAGAGTGAGAGAAAATCCTTGTATAAAATATTACTGATAAAAGTCTGATATTCACAATATATAAGGTATTAACACACATGTATAAGGCCAAGAGGCATTTCCCAGTAGATAATGGTGAAATAACATTAACATTTTTAAAAGAATCACGAAATATCAATGACAACATGATAATTTGCCCCAAATCATTAACAGAGAGACAAATGCAAACAAATTTAACACTCTGCAAACTGGCAGTTAATAAAAACTGAAATAGTCAACGTTAAGATAAGGTGAAAGTACAGGTACATATGCAGTTGGGGAAGCTATGAATTATTCTGAATATCAATTTGTAATTATGCAGGAAAAGTAACTAATCAGTTCATACCCTTGGACCCAGTGATTCAACTACTAGTATATGCCCTCAAGGAGTCTGAAAATAGAAAGTCAGATATGTTGTATATCAAAATATTCACAGCAACAGTTTTTGTGATAGACATAATAATAACGCAAGCCCATCGGTACATGGCATTTTAAGGTCTGCACACATAGCTCACAGATTTGCCCTTTGAGGTAGGTGCTATTTTTGTCCCCATTTTCCTGATGAAAAAACTGGGTATGAGAGAAGTTAAGTGATTTGCCAGGGGTCACACAGCTAGTATCTGAGAGAGGATTTGAACAAAGACCTGTCCTAACTCCAGGTCCATCAATCTTTCCACTATGCCACTTGGCAAAGAACTAGAAACAAAACATCTTTGTGTATCAATTGAGGAATGGCGAAACAAATTCTGGTGTGTCCATGTAACGAAATATTGTTGTGTAGTAAGAAATGATGACTATTAAGAATTCTGTTCATGTTCAACTGTAAATTCCTTGAGGGCATGGACTGTTTTTGCCTCTCTTTGTAGCCCAAGTGCTTAGCATAGTGCCAGGAACATAGGAGGTGCTTAATAAATGTTTATTGATTGATGTTGTGAGTGAAATAAAGGGAACCAGAAGAACAATAATCATAATGACTACAACAATACCATTGAACTAAGAGGAAGCTAGACTCCAAGTGACTGAAAAACCAATAACAACCTCAGAAAAATATAAGGAAACATTCCTCTCTCTTCTTAGAAAGGAGGTAGGAAACTACAAGGGTAGAATGCTACAAAAATTGTTAGATGCAGTCAAGGTATCAATTGATACTTCACTGTTTTGCTTTGTTACAAGGGTTCAGGTTAGAGATGGGAGGAAGTTTGGAGGCCATCATTCAGCTCCCTCATTTTAAAAATGAGAAATACCAGGTTCCAAAGAAGCAAGGGAAAAATTAAGCTTCTTGTATAGGTTCATACTACCAGTAGTGCCATAAATAGGATATGAAAATCCATATTCCTGACTCCATGTCTAGTACTCTATCTAGGAGGGGTTCAGTTTTGAGTTGGGGGAATCAAGAATGATTGTCAGGGCAGCTAGGTGGTGCAGTGGATACAGCACCGGCCCTGAAGTCAGGAGGACCTGAGTTCAAATACAGCCTCAGACCAAACACTTGGCACATACTAGCTGTATGACCCTGGGCAAGTCACTTAACCCCAATTGCCTAAAAACAAAACAAACAACAAACAACAAAAATAGAATGATTGTGACTATCAACTCTGAAAATGAATGACCAAAGAGTCAAAGAGGTTATGCAACTGCCGTTAACTCTTAAAAATACCAGAGCTCAGAGGGCAGAGAGTACCCCAACTGCTAACTCTGAAAAATAAAATAAAACCAAAGAGCTCACAGAGGTTACAGGCAAAAAAAACCTTCTTTATTCCACTGGAGCTTAAAAGGGCCAGGGTCTCCCACTGCATTGACCTATATCTTGCCACCAGGTTCTGATGGCTCTGGAGGAGAGGGGGAGGCTGATGACTTCGAACAGCCTTACCTTGCTTAAATCCAGTTCACTTGCAAGTCAAGACATTACCCTCCTGATGTCATTAATCCTCTTTGAGAAGAAAGGATGGACAACAATTTGCCAGTCCCAACTGGGCAGTTCCAGTTGGGCAATGCTATTATTTTCCCCACTCCTCCTCTTCCTTTTTCCCCCCTTCCCCCATCCTCTTTCTCTTCTCTTTCTGTCCATGTGGGGAGTCATATCCTTACATATGGTTTTTATATCTTATACTTCACAAGCTATCTTGTGGTTTGGAAACTTGGCATTTTGTCATTTTGCCAAGCTCAGAGCACAACTTGCTTGCTGGACCTTAGCTCTGGAAAACAGGGTGTTTCCTAATAGTAAAAAGAGAAGAGTTAAAATAGAGGGGTGATCTTGGCATGAGGATCCTGACATCATAAAACCAAAAGGCATCAGTTAAATTTCAGAAGAAAAAAAAATAGGTCGGCAATTTAGCAGGCTACTTCTGAAATGCTATTGACCCATGTTCTAGATTTCATAGTGCTATTTATTACACAATGACCCAGAAAAAAAAGCCAATGACCCAGCCTAGAAAAGAAAAGGGGTGAAAAGCAGCAATAGAAAGTAACTCTGAGAAGGTCAAAAATAATAAATAGGATGCTAAATCTGAAAAGAATCTTGGGACTCATCTAGTCTTAAACTTGCAGTGCCTCAGCTTATTGGGGAGGCGGTCACCCCTCCCTCACATTCTGTAGAAAAAAATAACTAAATCCTAGAATGTTACAGGGTCTTTGTCCAAGGTCAGAGCAAATTAATGGCAGAGGTGAAAATAGACAATGAAGTCTCTTTACTACTAGACAAGTGTGCATGGTCACATTTAAAAACATATAGACATCCACAGGAAATGGAGCCAGTCTTGAAATGTACTACTGGACTAGAAAAATCTGTGCTACAGTTAGCTTCTGGTAAGTGCTAAGCTTGTCAATTAGTTTCCTCCTATGTGTGATGTCTGAGAAATAGATTGACGTAATGGATGAGAAGCTGACCTTGGAGGCAAGAAGATGTAGGTTTAAGTCTTACCTCTGACTCATACGATTGTGTGGCCCCCGGATAAATCATTTGACTTCCTTCTGTCCTTCCTTCCTTCCATTCCTTCCCTTCCCCTTTCTTTCTTCCCTCCCTCTCTCGTTCCTTCCTTTCTTCCTTTTCTCTCTCCTTCCTTCCCTGCATTCATCCTTCCCTCCTTTCCTACCCTCCCTCCTCTCATCCTTCCCTCCTTTCTTCAAACTTAAACCTAAAGATAAGTATATAGAGAGCTGTCCTAAAAGCCAGGAAGACTTGGGTTCAAGTCATGCCTTTGATTGCATGAACCTGGGCATGAACTTAACATGAA